TGAACGGATAAACGAAATGGGTAACGTACACACAATGGAATATTATTCAGCCGCAAGAGGGAAGGGCATTCTGACACATGCTCCAACATGGATGACTCCTGAGGACATTATGATAAGTGGAATAAGTGAAAAGGATAAATCTATATGATCCCATGAGATGAGGTACCTAGAGCAGCCAAAGTCATAGAGACAGAAAGTAGACTCCAGGTTGCCAGGGGTGGGATAACCAGAGGGGGACTGAGGAGTTGTTTCTTGGGGACAGAGTTTCTCTTTGGGATGATGAAAAAGTTCTGGAGATGGATGGTGGAGATGGTGGCACAACAGTGCCACTGAATTGTACCCTTAAAAACAGTTAAAATGGTAAATTTTATGTTATATATATTTCATCATTCTAAAAAGTATAGTAAAAAAAACTTTTATAAGGACCCACAACAGTTGAACCACCAGGATTAGCTCCGGAATGCCCATGTGGCTGGAGCTTATAACACCCAGCTGAGGCTGCACCTGCCAGCTCTGGGATGTGGGGCTCAGGCTCCCCAGGCTGGGGCTGCTCTTGTAGCTGAGCTCTGGGGTCACAGCCCCAGTCCGTCCCTTCCACCAGCCAGCTCTGGGGCTATGGGCAAACCACTTACCTCCCAATCGGAAAAGTGGGAAAGCCTAATTCTTAGGGCTGTGGTGAGGATGAGCTCCCGTCACGAAAGCACAGAGCCTAACAAGACATCTGTCTGACACACAGGATGCTAGCGAACACTCATGGTCACCGCCGCCACGTCCACCATCGCCCCACCCCGCCCCACCCTCAGCCCGCACCTCGCCAGGGGCCAACGCCCAGCCCGCCTGGGCCTCCATGTCGTGCAGCTTCTGCGTCTGCTTCAGCTGGTTGAGCGTGGGCTTCAGCTGCGCGGCCCCGGCCGTCTTGCTCGTCCACTCGTCCACCAGCTTGTGCAGGTCGTCCGTGAAGGTGCCTTTCTTATTGTTGCTGTTGTTCCCCTGCGCCTGGGCGTGCAGGGCGGGCTGCGGGCCCGGCTCCGGGCCTGGGGCCAGGCTGCTGGTGGAGGACCCTGGGGAGTCACACACAGGCCAGGATTGGTGATGCCACGCACTCGCCCAGGCCACCAGTGGGCTGGCTGTGGTCATTCTCACAGGACGGCTGAGACCACAGTCTCGCTTCGGCCAGGCAACACCTTGCTTCAAGAGGCGGTCTGGATTAGTGGGCCTAGCTGCCCAGTTTTAAACATGGTGGGCATTTCCACAGGCTGCAGGTTACTGGCTGTGCGAGGTGGCTGTCACCCATCTTGTAAGCCAGGTCAGAAGACCGGACCCCATAGCAGCCTCCACTATGCCCACCCCTGCCCACCCTGCCTGACTCACGTGAGAGAGCTCGGGAAACTCTTGGCACAGCTGACACCTGTGAGCTTTGGCGTCAGAGACTGGGGTCAGATTCCTCAGGCTGTCTCTGGCCTCTGCGTCCTCAGCTGTAACATGAGGACGCGAGGAGGTGAGAGTCCCTGTGCAGGCTCTCAGCTCACGGCAGCTACCGCCAGGCTTCCTAGCCCTGGCCTGCGGGGAAATGCTACCATAGCTGCAGTACTTGCATTGCCCTGAACTTTAATGGCACGGTTGTTTGGAATTCAACATACAGAAATTACGCCAGAGCACTTGGGGAAGGTATTAATAAAGGTGACAAATACTTAGGGCCACCCGACTCAGGGTCCACACCTGAGCGTGGCTGGGCTGCTGCAGGACACAGGGGCGAGCTGGAGCCCGGCCGTGCAGGGTGGGCCTGCAGCCACCGCACCCACAGCAGACCCGAGCGCTCAGCTGCTTCACTGCTTCATTGTTTTTAAATGAGCAAAATGGGACTTTAAAATTTTTTTTAATCGTGTTCCTTCGCCCTCCACACACACACATAATTTCTGGTTGGCAATTTTGAATCAGCCAATTTAAAAATGTTCTGCACTAAAAAAAATAACCTAACGACCATCTCTTCAAACAAGCTGTTCCGAAATGTAGTGTACTTTAGTGGCTAGCAATGAAAAAGCACAGACACAAACAATTAAAAATTAGTGATGAGATTTTACACACACGGAGCTATTTCTACATGAAAATTTCAGCCAGAAAAGAAAAAAGGGAAATTAAAAAAAAAAAAAAAAGAGAGAGGTGAGTAGCCCAGGCGGACTAAGACCCATTTGGTCCTGCTCTCTCTCCTCATGGAAGCACTATCTTTAGCACTTCAGGGAACTGCTCATGCCTACGGTTTTGGAAAATGAGCCAATTGATGACTGGTAACCTGCGGGCGTTCTGGAGCATAAGCCTGTTACACGGAACCGGAGCCAGGGAGACACAGGGAGCTACCGCGCAGGCGCAAGCGAAGCGGCCCCGGGAGGGGGCGCAGGGGCGGGGCAGGCCACGCCCACCCCGCCCGGACGCGGATGCGCACTAGCCACACTGAAGCCCATGCGATGAGAGGACAAAGGGGGCAGAAAACCCGGATAATTACTACTGCTGTGTTCTTTGCCTAGGCAGAGACGCTTCAGGGCAGACCCTGCAAGGGAAGAAGAAACGACACAAGACCACAGGGTTAGGCAGAACGGCACACACCGGGACACGCTACGACACTCTAAGCAAGTCATCGGTGTGCAGGGAGGGACAGACGCAGGCAGCAGCTCAGAGAGGGCCGACCCGACCCGGGGGCACTGGGCAGCCCCCCAAGTTAGTGTGCAGGCTCCCACGAGCTTCGCCGAGGAGGCGGAGGTGCAGGGCCAAGCCCCCAAGCTTCAGGGAGAAGTGTTGGTCTCTAGAAGCGTATTCCAAAAAAAGAAAAAGAGAAAAAGGAAAAAAAGAAAAAAGCAAAGCACACCGCTTGGCTTTCAAATGTCAGGTTTTTGGGAGCCCCACTGGTTGAGGCAGGAAAACCCACTAAAAGTCAGCCACATACTCTCGAACAGAGCTGGGCACAGGCTGGCCGGGCAGGAGGTTTCCCAAGTGCAAAAAGATACATTGTTTTGCAGGCCTGAGGCCAATTCTGGATCAGATGACTGCCTTGGACAAGGTCAGCAGTAGGCATTGAGTAGAGGAACAGGAGGTTTCGGTCTAAGGGCTGACTCTCAAGTGTTGGGACGTTGTGGCTTTAACAATCCTATCCACCAGGAGCAGGTTATTATTAGACCACCCCAAGTGGATGGGCCCACAGTACCCAGTGGCTGGCTGGGGTATGTCAGGCAATACACTGAATGTAACGTCTGGCCAGTCAGTGCCTCACCTGGAGGGGCAGGGGTGCCTGGGGCAGAGGGCAAGCTGGCTAGGAGGGGCTGCCATCTCAGCTTGTCCCACACATGGCCTTCCAGGGAGCTGGGCAAGCAGGGCAGGACGGGCAAGGGTAGGCTCAGACTTCCCCAAGGTCACTCGACAAAGCCAGGCTAGCACTGAGGGTCTGTCTGTGCTCCAGCCCTCGGCCTCCTCAGCAGGGCACACTTCCTCCCCTGCAGGGACACACTCCAGACCAGAAAGGTGAGACTTGTGACTTCCAGGGATGTGAAACACCTGGCAACACAGCCTTTCCTCCTCTGGAAGGGCTTATGCCTCTCGCCTGGGGGACAGCAAGCAGACCGTGGGCCTGGCTCCTTGGTCCAAGCCTAGCCTGAGCCGAGGATGCTGGACTTGGAAACCTAGCTCAAATTGACCTAATTTATTATTTTTAGCTCACCTGTATGCCCTCAGAGGCCAATGTGGAGGAAAGTGAGGCGATATGCTGTTGGAGACATTAATATTCAAATGAAGAAGGAATCTGGCAATAGAAATCCAGACAGATGGACTCTGGAGGAGAAACTTTGAAGGGCTGTGCCCTTGCCGTCTATATTCTGAGATGAAACCCTACTAGGAACACAGCCGATGTCCCTGCGGGGACTCATCATGATGTGCATGGGACTTCTATAGTGAGGGAGGGACTTCTGAGCCTTGTAACTATGGCCCAGGCCTGGATCCACTGTGCAGGAGCAGCAGGTGAGCACCAGTTTCCCGTCAGGCTTTGTGTCGGGTTATAGCCCCTTCTAGGCTGCAACAGTCCCATATGGATGGCCCTAAGACAGGCAGATGAGTGGTCAAGCTGGGTCCCTGCAGCCTGACTACAGCAGGTGCTTTATAGAATGGCACTCTGAGACTGCCTGGCAGCTCTTGGTGTGGTTAGAAGCTGCATTTGGGGTGAATTCCTGGCTATCCTCACAACTGGGAAGAACACCAGACAGGCCAGATGTGCTACGGGAACCACCAGAGGGAGCCTGGACCTGCCTTCATAACTGAGTCCCACTCACTGCTCTGTGAACAGAGATCTGGGGCATTGTGTAGACAGGGCTGGGGAGCAACACTGGCCCAAGAGGCCTCCATGCCCTACTGAGAATGCCAGGTGACCAGGGCACAGACGGCTCCCGGTCCTCCATACCCTTCCTGGACTTGGACCTTTGGTAACCAAGGCACAGATGGCTCCCAGCCCCCCACACCCTACCTGGAACACCAGGTAACCAGTGCACAGATGGCTCCTGGAACTCAGGTGAAATCAACCACATACCAGCCCCTTGACATGGTGTCTACACTGTCCAGTCCCTTCTTTCAGAGCCTCAGCTGAGCAGCCACAACCTGGCTGGGGGCAGAGATCTGGCCACCTTCTGGACAGCAGTGCCCATCCGTAGGTAGCCTCTTAATCCACCTCCCCATGGCATCTCTGCCCTGGCCTGGCCCCTGCCCTTCAGTTGCTCACCACACAGACGAGAAGCCCCTCCATCTGGACCCTCACCCCGGTTCTGCATCAGGAGAAGGTGCCATAGGCCACTGTCCAGCAGAAGGCACAATTGACACCAGGCCCACCCAGTCTGCCCTGAGGCTTCTGTCCCCAGCCAAGGGTGGGAAGAGCAGCACCAGCACCCTGGACTACTCAGCGGGCACTGGGGTGTGGGTCTTGGTGACCTAGAACTGTCATTTTGTTTTTATGTTGCTGGTTTTTGGCAATATAGTTAGTGATGTAGAACTGACTAATCATATATAAAAATAGAGGGTGGGCGATGCTGTGATAGGTATGAGTGTCGGCTGTTCTCTGCCATTTTGTTAATTCTTGAACAATGACTCATCTGGGTAGAAATCCCGTAAGCAGAGGTAGGCTTCCTAAGGATTACAGGTTATAAAGATTATGGGAGGGCCGGCCCGGTGGCGCACTGGATAGTGCGCCGCTTGAGAAGCGCGGCAGCGCTCCCTCCCGAGGGTTCGGATCCATGTTCATAACATTCAACTTAAATGTAACTACAACATTATCACTGTTGAACACACAAAATAAGTTACCATTGATAACTCCCATAACCATGTTCATAACATTCAACTTAAATGTAACTACAACATTATCACTGTTGAACACACAAAATAAGTTACCATTTATAACCCCCATAATCTTTTTTTTTTTTTGTCTTTTTCCGTGTCCGGCAACGGATGCACTGGATAGTGCGCCGCTTGAGAAGCGCGGCAGCGCTCCCTCCCGAGGGTTCGGATCCCACATACAGACCGGTTCCCGCTCACTGGCTGAGTGAGGCACGGGGGCAACTCCGAGGGTTGCGATCCCGTTGCCGGTCCCGGTCCGGTACGGGGGCGACACTGAGGGTTGCGATCCGTTGCCGGACACGGAAAAAGACAAAAAAAAAAAAAGATTATGGGAGTTATCAATGGTAACTTATTTTGTGTGTTCAACAGTGATAATGTTGTAGTTACATTTAAGTTGAATGTTATGAACATGGTAATTGTTATAATATTAATTAGTAGGTCAAGATTATTGTGGAAGGGCTGTGGAAGGCTGGCATTCTCAACCGCTGGGAAATACACTATTTTCTTCCCAGGACATAAAAAGGATGATGGTGGGGCCAGTTCTTGGACTGGGCATCACCTATTTTTGTGCAGAGACGTCTGGACACAACCCCACAGCAAGAGCTGCTGTCCAGGCAGTGAGGTAAGCTTCCCGCAACCCCGTAATCACTTTGGCACAAAACCAGAGGATGCTCATGGGTTGGCAGCCGCACCCTTTCTGCGGCCGAGCATCCCCCTCCATCCAGACCCTTGGCTAGGTGCGAGGAGGACACCTCAGATGTGAAGGAGTCAACCGAGGGCACCTGATGGAGACAGATGGCTTAAAAAGTGGGTCAGCCCTGAGCAGCTCCTCACATTTGCTTTTAATATCACAGTGTTCAAATATTGACGAAGTTCACAGAGAACAACAGGAGCCACAGCCGCAGCACAGAATTAGCCGGGCCCCCGAGCACCAGGCGCTCAGCCGCACCTCCCCTCGCCAGCTGGGGCCACCAGCTCCACCTCACCCGGCCCGACTGCCGCTGGGTTGGCCTCACCCACAGTCGGCACTGGCCCCCTTTTCTGGCACAGAGTGTCTATATATTGAGCAATCACATTCTCAAATTGAGAAAACGGCAAAAAATTGTTCACGAGGCATCAACTGAGAAATGGGATGTACCTTGGCTGTGCCCAGGGCGATTTGGGCATGTTTTCACTTCACCCAGAGCCACAGGACCCTGGATCCCACAGGCCCTCAAAGCACACAGGCCTGCCCCATGACAGTCCAAGGCGGTGAGCCGCACTGACCCCAGCCTTGGCTGCCCAGGCCACGGAGGTCAGGGCTGGTGGGCATTGTCTGGGGCGGGGGCCCTTCTCTCTGGGTGTCCCCTGTCCGAGGGGCCTCTCCCATACCCACTGAAAAGGGCCTCACTGAGCGCTTACTCTTTCCCCACCACGGAGGGACAAGAACGTTCCAGGCTGTGGGGAGGGCCAGGGTCCCTGAGCCACACACCGGGCGAGAACCCACGGTTCCTGCACGCACAGAAGGCCTGGAAGGGGGTCAGTACCTGCCCAGTCATGCAGGAGGACTCAAAAGGACAACAGCTTCTGGCCACCAGAGCCACCAGAGCACAATCTCAGGGTCTGTAGCTAGACCCCTACTCCCCGGCCGTGGCCACTGTCCTTCAGGACGTGCACAGTCACCTGAGCTCCCCCAACCGTACACCAACCGTAAGGAGGGGTCCTGTTGGTGGGCAACTGGACATGGCATCTATGCCAAGGGGCTCACCCAGGCTGGGAGGTGGGTGTGGGCCGACGGTTGCCCTAGGAGTCTGCCCACCACTGCTCTTGTTGCTCCAGCCTCTGGACCTGCCTGGCCCCAGCCCGGCTCCACCCAGGCACGGTGGCTGGTGACCCCAGCCCACCCTCTCACCCAGCCCCAACCTGTTTGCTAGGGCCTCTTCATCTCTGAGCTTCACAGAAGCGGGGGTCTTTCTGTGCTCAAAATGTAAGACACATTTTGTTTTCCTGCAGTCTTTTCTATTCCAGGATGTGGGGGTGAACCCAAACCAGGCTGTGAGCTGAAAACTGTCTCTGGGATTTGCCAAGTGTGCCGGGCAGGGCCAGCTGCCCCTTGGGCCTGAGCCCTAGCTCCTCCTCTCCTTGCAGTGCAATCCCCAGCCCCCCAACCCCCAAAGTGCTGGGCTCACACTACCCCCACCCCAAGAGCCGTCCTCTCCCTCCCGCCTCCACACCTGGCTCAATCCCACTGCCTCTGTCCAAAGCCCCAGGGCCTCTTGGCACACGGGGATCCATTCAGCTTTGAATTCCCCTCCAGTCTTTTCCATGTAGGTGCTCAGTCTCCTCACTGACTTTAAAGCTCCCCTTTCTCTTGGGTGCCCCCCTGTGGATTTACCCAGGAACCAGCAGAGGGACAGACTGGTGGATAGCTCAGTGAAAAGCTCCAACCGCCACAGCCTTGAGGCCAGGGGCAGGAAGGGTGGTCCCAGGGGAGTAGCAGGAGAGATTGGAGGCCTGGAGCCTGCAAGTGCTCCCAGTCTGCACGGCTGCTGTGAAGGTGCAGAGGCAGGAGCCTACCTGGGTTCTCCCAGACCAGCAATGTCAGAGGACGTGGGAACCACGTTATGGCCTTAGAAGACCATGGATCAGCCACGGCTTAGCTCCTGACAGAGGCTGGGCTGTGCACACAAGGCACAGGCAGGTGACAGGCGCCACATCTGAGATCAGCCCGCCTGTACCAAGTCTCCCAGGTGCCCTCATCCCTGGTGATGACCCCAGTGTGGGCGGCACATGCACCAGCCAGAAGAACCACACAGGCCTTGCAGCCTCCTGCGAAAGGTCTAAGACACACAGAACGAGCCCCTGCACCCACACACCAGATGCACTCAGAGACTGACTAGCCTCCCGACTGACAGACCAGCCGCCTGAGAATGCTGTACTGAAAGGGGCGTCCTACTGAACAAATGAGGACAAGGAGCCCCGGAAGTCCCTGGCATCTCAAGGTGGCCCTTGTGCCCTTGACCTGTTGTGCCCTGCAGGACGATGACCCGTGTGGACCTCAGATGAAGGTGGGCTGATGGCAGTGGATGCCTGCCACAGGTGTGGCCTCTGAGTCCCAACAAGCACAATGTATCTTATTGTACAAGCAAAAAGTCATGTGCCCCAAACCAGCATATCCAATCCAATTGTTAAAAAGCTTAATTTTTCTGTTAAAAAGACAGAAACCGAAAAACTCCACAGCTTTTGATTCATTGGCCAATTGTTCTGAGGGATACTGCACAATTTGGGATGTCCCCAAGCGGGTGTGCCACTGCTGGAAATGCACTTCCCGGCACTGAGCAGGGCCCGGGGGTCTGAGGGAGATGGAACGGAGCTTGGTTTAGTAGAGAAGCGAGGAACTGCGTCACTGCCTGCATCCCTGAGGTCACAGGAGGTCACACACCAAGTCAAGTGCTCCGGCTGAATGGAAGATAGGAAGGGCTGAGCCAGGAAGGACTGATGCTCTGAGAAAAGAGCCTCAGCAGAAGAGGGTGCTCTCATCTCTTGGGGTTGGAGAGGGCAGATGGGGCAGGGAGATTATGGAGGGGCCAGACCTCCCCTGTGGGTGGGGAGGGGCTGGGGAAGCCCGAGCTGGAGCACCTTCCCTCAGCATTTCCACATGCAGGGGCTGGTGGTGGGTGTGCCGTCTTGGGGGCTGGAGTCTGGCACAGAATCACACCCTCCAGGGAGCATTAGGACTGTATCGGCTGGCTACATGCATGTCTTCACAGTGCACATGTGTGAAACACACCATGCATCTAGAGAAAGTTGGGGTATCTTTTTGTTGTCGCTGGAACTGGGGGCAGCAGACATGTATATTTGCCACAATTGCAACAGAAAGAAAAACTACGTCCAACATAGAAAAATAAAAAGTCAAATAAATGAGGTGATGAAAGAAATGCAGAGGGCCCCTGAGGTCTGGGGCGGAGGCGCCCGAGGCGGGAGGTGGGGAGCCGCGGCACATGCTTTGGTGCTGGGCGCCAGCCAAGAGCATGCACACGCGCTGCCGGGGGCCACAGGGCGGGCATGGACGGCGGTCGTCCAGCAGATGGGCCGTGGGGCTCCACTTTTGATATTAAGTACGTAATTTCAACGGGGTGGGGGAGGCATCCTACGACATGTATGAAAGGAAATGAAGACAGGAGGGTTGGGAGGGAGACACCAAGGGCCAGGAGGTGATAAATACAAAAGAACAAATACAGACAGATGGACACAGATACGGGTCCACTGAGGAATCGAGCACGAGGTTTGCTACTAGACTTATGGGTCCCTCTCTCAGACGTTGGGTGGGAAACCGTCCAGCCTGCAAATGAATATAAAGGGAAGAAAACAAAGAGACACTCATCAAGTACAGGTTGCTACGACTCCTCCTCCACACCAACAGCCACACCAGCTTGTTATTAACATCCACGGCTCCACCTAGCCCAGCCCGGAGCACCAAAGCCACTGGCCACACACTGGGGGAGGCAGCGGTGGGAGAAGAGAAGCGGCCTGAGGAGAGTGGGCAGGGTGGGCGGGGTGGGGCACCTTCACCTGTCACCATGACTTCTCTGGACAGAGATGGTGAGGACAGGAGAGCACCTTATCGAGCAGCCGTCCATGGCAGCGTTGACAAGAGAGTGTTTCCTCCTCAAGGCCAGCTCCCAGCTCAAGAGCTGAGCCCTCATCCCCCTGCCGTCCCTTCTGACTTTGGGAGGACCTGGTGTTTAGCACCATCTGGCTCCACTGCAGGGAGTGGGGTGGGAGCCACGGAGCACTCAGTGAGATGCCAGGTCCCCTCCCCTCCCCGTCCTAGCCTGAGGTCCATTCTGGCAAAGCATCACCTCCCTGAGCTGCTGACAGCAAGACTTGGTGATTGTTGGAGCAACTCTATTCTTTCATCCAAAGACTACACCTTTTTCTTTCCTTTTTTCAAGAAGCTGCTCAGCAGCCTTTGCTGTGGCTCATGTCCCCCTAACAATATGGGCGTGCTCCTGGGGACTCCACCAAGGCCCTATGTGGCTGGCACATGCTCGGAGACAGGCAAGCTGAAAATCACCTTGGCCACGCACTCCGCCTCCATCACTGGCTAAGCCGGAGCAGATGTCCGAAGACAGGGAGGCTCGGACGGAGCAGGGCTGCTGGGTCTGCACTGCCTCCCCGCATGGGCGCGTGCTGGCTGCTGCAGGCCCCGCACCGGCTTGGGCAGGGTCCTTAGCAGGAGGGCCTCTGCTGGAGTCAGACAAGTGACCTGGGCGGAGGGAGAAGGCACGATGAGGCGCCGCTGGGCAGGGGCTGTGTGGGCCAAGTCTGATGTCCCTGTTCTTTTTGCTGGGTGACCTTGGGGAAGCTCAGAGTCTCCTGCAGACAATGGCTCGTGACTGGGTCTCCTGTGAGGGGATGCTGGGGAAGATCAAAGAAAGTATCCAGTCTCCACAATCCTCAATGCCCTGCCGGATCTGTGTTGTGCAAATATGGTGACCAGAGACACATGCCTGGGCTCACAGTGGCCTGTGTGCTTCTCACTTTAATTAGTATCTTATTAGCTTTGGGAATTGGCACTGAACTTGTGTAATCTGTGCAATTTGTGGACATGTGCCCTGCAAGTTACTGGCTTATGGTTAGGGAGGCCTTAGGTTGGTTCACTGGTGGCTTCCCACCTGGCATGTTCGCAAATTTAGGCTCACTGGGTTTCCACCTGGAGCAGCGGGGCTCTCAGCCAGCGAGCACCCCGCAGTGCCACTTGGGAAGCCTCTCAGGAACTCAACATGCAAGGACATGGGCTCGTGGCTGCTTGGAGCCAGGCCAGTGCCACCCCAGTGACCAGTGTCACCTTTAACAAAGCCAGGAGGTCATCACCATCTCCCCCAACACCCATAGTCAGCAGGTTGGCTGCCATACGCCTCAGAAACAGAATCACAGGGGTAGCCACCATCCCTCCAGCCGAGGCAGTGCCATATGGGGAGTGGCAGGCGGGGGAGGGCTTTCCTGGCATGCTCTGCAGCCCAGGGCGGCCAAGGGCCCTCGCCCCTCACTTGGGGCTGAAACCAGACTCCAAGCAGCCACTGCCACACAGCTTGGCTCTCTGCACCGAGGACAGAGGCCCCGGGCTGCCCTCAGCTTGCAGTTACTTCCCTGTTTGAGTAAGAAAAGACTCAAAGAAGAAAACCCCAGGCAGAATTCCAGGTCTGAGGGTGTCACACCTACACTGAGCCTGCCTCCCAGGCTCACTCAGGGTACTCCCAGGCCCCATGCCCCCACAGCCCCCAGTGCAGGCCCCCCATCTGGCAGCGGGCCAACCTGTACTGGAGGCCACGACCTTGAGCTGCTGCACCAGGGGGTTCAGCAACTTTCCCGCCTTCAGCTTGCTCTTGCTGGTTTTCCTCCGGCGGCCGGTGGGGGGCGCTGTGTGGAAGAAGCCCACACTCGGGGGCAGCGGCTTGCCCAGGCGACGGTACAGAGCCTCAATCTCCCGCTTCTGCTGGCTCTGCAGCTCTGAGATCTCCTTCAGGTGCCTGGAGGGGGGCAAGAGGCAGGAGGGTGGTGGGCTTCCTCCTGCTTGGGGGAGGCTGCCCTGTGAAAACGGGTGGGGGAGGAGCTGAGCCACTCGGACAGCCACACAGGGGCTTCTAAATGGCACTGTTTATATCTAAGCCAGGCAGGCGTCAAGCTGGGGGTCTCTGGCATCAACAAGCTCAAGGACAAGCTCAAAGACACAGGTGAGCCCAAGGAGCTGCACATTTTCAAGTACCCAGAGTCATAACCACTGTTGCACTTTGAATGGTCAGGGGGTGTGGCCATGCTTACACTTACGCTTTCAGTAAGAGCCCTAAACATTAGCACAGGTGAGCGCTCAGAACTGACAGGGTGCCTGAATTTATCAAGCAAGGGAGCACAGAAGGCATCTCAGATGAAGGACAGCACTGCATGACCGAGTCCCCGAGACACTTGTTAATGGCAGGAGGCTTCCAACTCAACACCTCCCCGCTGGGAACACTGTAGAAGGTTACATGTCATCATGTGGGTGAAATGCAGGTGGGATCGCTGGTCATGGGCAAGGGCAGTGTCTAGGACAGCTGAAAGGACCTGTTAGGCCTCCCTGGGGACTCGCTGGTCCAGCCCCCTGGCCCTGCCTCTCCCACTACCTTCCTGCAGCTGGTGCACTGAGCTTCTGCAAGGCCTGACTCCACTCTCCCAAGGGGCCCCAGCTGCCCCTCAGGCTCATCTCCCCCAGCTTGTACGGCTGGGAAGACAGGTGGTTTTCATGGTTGGAAATGAGGAAGCAAGTTTTGATTTTACCTCCTGTATCATCAACACCTACCAAATTTATTTTAGAAAAATAACTTTGTTTAGCTACTAAAAAATAAATAAAAATAAAAACAGCAAGACCCTGAGTGGCTTTCTCCCTGAAACACCAGCGAGAAACAGAAACTGCTGTTTGCATCAGATTAGTTGCAGCAAGGGAGTGCTACTTCAGGAGGGAACGCTGGGGGAGGCTGCTGGGTCAGCAGAGCGACATCGTATTCAGAACTGCAGGGCACAGCCGCACAGAGCTGCTGCTGTTCTGGCTGCAATGTGACTCCCACGCGGGGGGGGTGGGTTCCCCTGGCTGGCTTCCTGCAGGGCCCAGGGGTCTTGGGCTTCTGAAAGCACAGGCTGGGCCAAGCACAGGGCTCTGGGGCCCTAAGAAACACTGATGCTGGCATCAGAAACCCCAGGGTGAGAGCCTGCATTCTAACAGGTGTCCAGGGGGTTCTGATGCAAGTAAGGTTTGGGAAACACTGGCTGCTTCCCATCAAATGCAACCAAGTCCCCTCAATTCTCAACTGCGGTTCAGATTCTTCCCCAACCCCTTCTAAGGGGTCACTCCTCCACTAGGCTCGATGGCCCTCCCAAGGTCTACTTCCCCCTTTCTCAAGTTCCCTTTCTTGAGCTGCTTTAGTGTTTTTGTCCATGTTCCCCCCCAGACTGTGAGCTCCGGGGGGCAGGGACCATTTGGTATATTCAGCACCTCACCCTGGGCCTTCAAGGAAGCCTTCCACGGGGTGAGTGCTCAGCACAGGGATGCCAAGTGAATAAACGGGGGGTCTCAGAATCCCTTCCTCTGAGGTGCTTCTTGGACTAGGCCTTCCCCTCCCACAGCTCCTCCCTCACCAGGCCCTGCCCACCCCTGGCGCTCAGCCTTGAGCGTGTCTAGGCCCTGCCCCATCTCCAGGCCCCACCCCACCCTGACTCGCAGCCCCTCACCCAGGACATCAGCTCTCTGCAGAGCCTACAGCAGCTTCTGCCCCCAGTGTTCTCACATCCAAACTCTCCTGCCCCCTCCACAAGGCTGGCCTGGCAGTGGCTGGCAGCTGGGCAGTGGCTGGCAGCAACTCAGCTCCCCTTGGTACCCGCTGACTGGTGGCTCCCCAGGGTGAGAATCCACTGAGAGGCCGTGCCTCTGCCCTGAAAGTTTCCAGGTCATGCCCATTTGGACCCTGTCCACCCTCTGGCCCCCATGAAGGCTCTGCAGCACCATGTGGCCAGCCAGGCCACCTTCCCAAGTGCCCTGAAACCAGCAGCTATTTCAGCCAGCTCTGCCCTCTCGCCTCCCTTGGCCTCCACATGGTGCCTGTGGCCATTCAGTGTGTCTTCCATGCCAGCACTGGCCACCCCGTCCAGGCCTGGGCACACTCTTACCCTCTCTGTACACGGGGCCCCACAGAGAGGACCTCAGGAGAGAGAGGAGGTGTGACCAGCTCCCCTACACACCTGTGACTCCTCAGTCCCCAAACAGCACCCGCTCACAACCTGCTTCTCTGTCACGAGTGACTTCAGTCTCAGCCACACCTTAACAGCTACACTGCTGGGCCCTTCCCACCCAAAGGACCCACAGTGGGGGCAGAATAAATATTGCTAGATGAGAAAGAGTGAGAGAAAAGGACAGAAGGAGAGAGAGAGGGACAGAGGGAGCAAGAGAGGGACAGACAGAGAAAGGCAGAGATACAGAGAGACACGGAGAGACAAAGACAAACAGAGAAGACAGAGACAGAAAGAGGGACAGAGAGACAGAGAAAGAGACAGAGAGAGGGGAAGGCACATGTCTCAGTGACACCCTGAGGCATCCCCTTGAGGGCCACCGTAGGGAGCCGCCAGTGGGGAGGGAGGCCTGGGCCCCAGAGAGATGGCAAGTGGGGGCTGCCCGGCCTGGACGACACACGCAGGCCACCAGGACAGGTCTAAGTCAGCCTGGTCAGTGCCCTGTCACCCTGACGCTGCAGCTCCAAGTGCATGCTGCCTGACTGGGACTTTCACCATGTCTCACAGGCTTTCCCCACACCCAGGAGGCGACAGCAATGGACTGATGGGGTCAGAGTGTCCCAGGGGCTAGACTCACTTCTCCCGCAGACTCTGTAGCTCTTTCTTTATGTCAGCGTCCTCGAACTCTGAGTCATTGTCGCTGCTGATGTAGGATGACTGTGAGTGGAAGGAGGTCACGCTGATGGTGGGGACCTTCACAGTGGCCCTGCCGGGTGTCTCTGGACCCAGTGAACTGGCCCGTGAGGACCTGTGCAGGAAGGCAGTGGCCTTCTTGACAAAGTCGGTGGCCGCACTGCTGCCGCCAGACAGGGATGCCTCCTTCTGCACCGGGGGCCTCCTCCGCAGGCACTCGTCCCCGGAGTCACTGGACACAGGCTCGCCAAACTAAAAAGAAACCGCGATGTCCCAGCCCCAGGGGAGGGAGGTGTCAGCTCTGGGCATGCCCGCACAGCTTGACAGCCAGCACCCAGCTTTGCCCGATGTCTTCCAGCTTTAGAAGAGTCTCACGGAGCAGATCAACAGGCCTGATCTCCCGCCCTGCTCTGCTGGTGACCGGGGAACACCCAGTGCACCTGCCTTGGTGTTCTCCATATAGGGAGTGGGGCACGGCATATTTCTAATCGACTTCTGCAGGGTTGCTGTAAAAGCCAACGAGAAGCCGAGCAAGCTGCCAGAGCCAAGACCCCCACAGAGCAAAAGAAACTCACGGGCAGGCAGGGCTGAGCTGGACCTGTGTGCCACGGGGGACAGCAGCAGGAGCCAACAGAGCCTCCAGGGAGATGGGCCACCACACACACATGAGCGCACTGTGTGTCCTTTGCACATCCCACATGGGAACTCACAAGAAAATCTATCCGACAATCAGATTCCTGTGGAGACCCAGTCTGGTTTTTGTCACGCATCCCCCTGACCCATGGGCAATGCTCAGCTCTCCTTCTCACATCCCCGTGGGTGGGGATCATCCAACTTCTGTTGCATACCTCCAGGGATGGGAGGATCACTACCAATCACACTCCCTCTGTTCCTAAACAGCTCTGCCTACCAGGAAGTTTCGCCTTTTCCAAACTACAATCAGTCTCCTTGGAGGTTCCCCCACAAGTTCTGCACTGTGGGAAGAGTGTGGATTTTGGAGTACAAGTTACATAACTTGCAAGTTCCTAAAGCTAACTTTTCTCATCTGCAAAAGGGGCCCACAGGATATATCTCACAGTATGAGGTCAGAATCTGACGGAGTGACAAGGGCCACCCGGTGCGTGGCAGGGTGCAGGCACTCAGACACGACTGCCCAATCTCACCCTTTCCCTGGACACTGTCCTGCTTCTGCCCTGTCTCCCATCTTCCCCAGGCGAAATATCACCAGCTCCTCATGGGCACAGCCTCTGATCCCAGCGCTAGCTGCCCTAACCCCTCTTAAAGCGTGGCATCCAGAAATAAAGGTCTCCCATCTTCCCCAGGCGAAATATCACCAGCTCCTCATGGGCACAGCCTCTGATCCCAGTGCTAGCTGCCCTAACCCCTCTTAAAGCGTGGCATCCAGAAATAAATGCAGCTGCCCCCAGGGTCAGCCAGAGTCCAGCCAGACCACTCCCCTCACTCTGCAAATACGGCCTGAAACTTCGGGGTCCGACCTGCCACTGACGCACACTGAGGTTTCTGTCATGAGGCTCAGCTGGATCCAGATTATCCTGCCGATATCCCAACAAATTCCAGGCTGACAGGGAACCTTGCATCTTAGAAGGGAGACTCAGTCATTCAGATAATGAAATGAGACCCAGAGCATGAGTTTCCACAGAGATGCACCACAGGCAGAGCCACAGCGGAAGCGCCTGTGTCAGGTCCGCAGGGATTTCCCTGGCTCGGCAGTGTCCCAGGAGTTGCCAAATCCCCCACCCCACCCCTATGCTCTAGCCAAAATAACCATGGGTACTTTGTGGGTATCTTGTAACCTTGCTGAAGAAACACAGGAGTGGGGGATGGCCTCTCAAACATGCTCAGACACTCAGTCATCAGAGAGCCAGGGGGGCCAAGACACAGCCCCCACAACAGCCTAGCACCCACAGCTGGGACTTTCATCCATTTCCACAGAGGGGACTCTCCGTGGAGCATGAGCATGTGGTTCTTTCTAGGACTCAGTGGGTTTTAATTAAGTCATGACGGGCTCCTGCCGTGTCTGGCCTCCACCCTAGCTGCTAAAGGATCCCTTAAAGGTAAAGGTAAAGGGTAAGAATGCAGATGTAGAAGGTTCTGGGGCAAGGGAGGCTGGTGACACCTTGAGCTGTTACCTGTCACTGGTGAAGACGCTCCCTGCTCCTGCTCCGTTGTACCCCCTTGAGCAAGGGTCGTTTCTGATTTTTCCAACTGGAGGAAGAAACACAAAAAGGATAGGGCTGTGAGCCTCACTTGCCAACATCTTGCACGCAGCCTGTCTCAGGTGCTGCCCTCCCCTGCCTGGCTCCTCCCTGCAGGGCCCGGTCACAAGGAACTCCACGCACCCATGACACCGCACATGCAAGACCCTGAACAGGGACTGCTTGTTGTAAAACCTGTGTGGGTGAGTCAGGCACGCAGGGATGGGTCACTGTGGGCGGAAGGACCCTTCCACCCACCACCGGGCTCTGGCCTCTGCCCCAGACAGCACCTCTGGGACAAGACCAGCTACTCACCGAGGGCTGGGGCAGCTGGGCATCGCTCAGTGCTGGGGGTAGGGCCAGATCCCCCCCGGAGGCCTCGGTACGGGGTTGGTCCCCTCTCAGGGGCTCCAGAGCAAAGTCTCTGTCGCTCACCTCCACAGGGGTCCCGGCTGAGGCTGAGGAGGTGGGCACATGCTCCTGGTAGAGCAATGTCCTCAGCTTCTCATCCAGGCTCTTGATGGTGCTGTCCACAAAGCCCACCCTGGGGGGTGGCCCTTCCCCATCTGACTCCAGGGCCGAGGGCAGCTGTGGGGGTGCAGATGGCCCCAGGGGTGGGCTCGGGAGCTGGGGGGCGGCCAGGCTGATGGCCCCCATAGCGGTGGGGTGTTGGGGTGGGAGCTGGGCCAAGGAAGGCTGTGGGGCCCCACTGGGGGGGCTGGGCTCAGGTGCCAGAGCCAACAGGGGTTCCCCTGGGGCACTGGCCTCCCTGGCTGAGGTGGGCTCCCCCAAACAAGAGGGGTAGTGGGAGGCTTCCGGAGGAGGGGCACAAGGTCCTCGGCCTACACTGAGGGGCTGCGCAGCCAGCTCGGCATCGTGAGTCTCTGCTAGTGGCTGGGGGGTGTGATGCTCACTAGCTGGGAGTCCCTGGCTCCCCTGAGAAGTCCCTGGGCCCCCTGCCTGGATGGCAGTCCCTGACACTGGCTCTGGCACAGTGATGGTGGCTGGTGCTGCCACATCGGGGGGCGGAGCAGTCACGAGAGGGGAGGATGGTGCCGACGACGGGGCTGGTGCGCCACTGGGAGGGTTGCTGGGGCCTGCCTGGCTCGGGAGCCGCTGGCCAGCTAGGAAGGTGGGGAGCTCCTTCAAGAGCCGCTGGTCTGGATAAGCTGCTGGATCTAGAAGAAATGGGAAATGCCTTTTTACCAGCCTACTTAGGTCCTATTTACTTGTCTCTTCCCTGGCTAGAAGGATGCCTTTCACGACCTGGCCATAGCCCAGCACACCGGCTTCAGTCTCCCCACACTCCTCGTTCCTGCCTGCCCGCGCTGGTCTCCCCAAACGCCGTCCACAGGTCTCTGAGCAGCAACTGCTCCCCTCCAGGTCTCTGTTCCTACAGTGCCCCTGTGGCCAAACTAGCACCGCCCACCCTGCTTTGTGCTTTCCGTAGCCTGGACCCATCGGGCACAACCTGCTACCTACTGTCCGTTCGTCCATCTGCTCACCTGCTGGGTGAGCTCATAAAAATATGACTCGTCTATCTTGCCCTGGCCCAATCCACACAAACTTGAAAAATGAATTTATAAAATTAAAGTGTTTAAGAAGTGAGCTGTATACACTTCCACGCCCAGGACTGAACAGGAACCCCGAATCTTCCAATCAGTCAGACACCTAGTCTTTGGTACAGTCAGAAGCACAGGACGCCAGGACCCTGCCAGGGCTGGTAAATGGTCCTGGGAGGAGCCTGGAATCCAAACAATAAAACAAAGCCCAACAGCACCCTACTCAGGAGCCTGTGGAGCCTTTAACGTGCTCATGGCGACTGGGGCCATCTGGGAGGAGGACACGGGATACACTGTACCTAGACCTACTTGGCCTTTGAGCCCATTTCTCCTTTTAAAAAACAGGCTGGTTAACTCAGTCAGTAACACCACAGTCAAGGGTTCAGACCCCTGTGCCAGCTAGCCGCCAAAAATCCAGCAAAAAAACTGTGTCTTTTTAAAAAACACGAACAAAACACACAAAACAAAAGTGAAAACCAAGGTGGGTCTGGGGAGATGATGAGGCCCCTGAAGACTTCCTTACACCCCCAGACTCACCTTGCAGCCCACCCCAACAAAGGTAAAATGACCTTGATAAGCATGTCATCGTCTGTTTTTCTTCATGGCTGTACCATGTGTCTCTCTGAACACCACAGTCCAGTTCTGCCTAATTTTGAACATCCTGTCATGCAACAGTACCCTACTGATTCCTTGCTGTCTGGCTTCTCTCTCACACTATGTTTGTGAGATGCACTCATGTTGTGTGTGTCTGTGTGACCACACCATGATGCACATGCCCACTTGGTGCTGGTGCACACTGGGTAACTGCCAGCCTGGGACCATGACTAACGCACACGGAGTGTGAGTGTGCCATGTCTGCCAGGTGCACACCCAGGGTGCAGCCGCAGCCAGAGCAGCTCAGCCTGCAGGTGAGGAAGCTAAGCTGCTTTCCAAGGTGGGGGCCAGTTTCCCCTCCCACTGGCAGTCTCCGAACACTCCTGGGGCTTCCTACCCTCCTCAAGTCATCCTGGGGGTGTTTAAGAGGGTCTCACTGGGGTTTGTTTTTTAATTTTGATAAGAACACTTAACATGAGTTCTACACTCTCAACACATTTTTAAGTGCATAATACTGTATTGTTAACTACAGGCACTATGTTGAACAGCAGATCTAGACTTAGCTTGCATAATTGAAACCTTACGCCTACTGAACGGAAACTCCCCTTCCCCCACTCTGCCCCCCAGCCCGTGGCCACCACCATGCTACTGTTTCTGTGAGTTTGACTATTTTAAATATCTCAAAGAAGTGGAATCGTGCAATATTTGTCCTGGGACTGGTTTATTTCACTTAGCATAATGTCATGGAGGTTCATGCATGCAAGTGACAGGATTTCATTCCTTTTTAAAGCCGAGTAGAATTCTATACGCCTACTGAACGGAAACTCCCCTTCCCCCACTCTGCCCCCCAGCCCGTGGCCACCACCATTCTACTGTTTCTGTGAGTTTGACTATTTTAAATATCTCAAAGAAGTGGAATCGTGCAATATTTGTCCTGTGACTGGTTTATTTCACTTAGCATAATGTCATGGAGGTTCATGCATGCAAGTGACAGGATTTCATTCCTTTTTAAAGCCGAGTAGAATTCTATTGTGTACACACACCACATTTTCTTGATGCATCCCTTGATGAACACTTACGTTGATTCCGTGTCTTGGCTATTGTGAACAGCTCTGCAGTGAACACAGGGCTGTAGATCTCTCTTCCAGGCTCTGCTTTCAATTCTTTTGAATATATACCCAGAAGAGGGATTGCTGGATCATATGGTAATTCTATTTTAATTTTGTGAAGAACTGCCATACTGCTTTCCATAATGGCTATACTGATTTTCATTCCCACCAACAGTGTACAGGGGTTCCCTTTACTCCACAGCCACGTCAATATTTGTTGTCTTTTGTTTTTTTTGATAATAGCCATGCCAACAGGTGTGGGAGGATATGTCATTGTGGTTTTGATTTGTATTACTCTGACGACTAATTAAATTGAGCGCCTTTTCATGTGTACTGGCCATCTGGATATCTTCTTTAATGAGTTCCTGTCCAAGCCTCTTGCCTATTTATCTATTGAGTTTTAATTCTTTTCTTTTTGATTTATAAGAGCTCCTACAAATGAGTTAGTTCCTCATGCAGCTGGGTAAGAATCATCTGTGGTTGTACATACTGCAGGTACCTTCCCTCACTTATATCTTAAACCTCAGAAGACATTATCTTTTCATACAGTCAGTACTCATTTAGATCTACCCATATTTTATAATGCCATTAGTTTTTATTCCCAGCTGCGTTCTGACCTTCCATCTGGGGTCACTGTTCTGTCTACAAGCATTCAGTTTAGTATTTCCTGAGTCGAGAAGAGCAGGTGGTGAAAACTTTCGTCTTTATTCCATCTTCATTCTAGCAGGATCCTATCAACAGGATCTGCGGCTGGTGCTGATTCTGCAGCACTGTGAGGGCAGCTGTGTTCCTCGGCTGCTGTGTACGTTGTCTGTGCGCAGCCGGGAGCTGTCCACACCACGGCTGCTCCTTTACAAGACCTGTTCTTGTTTTAATCCATCATCCTTTGTATTTTCCTGTGTATCTTTGGTCTTCAGTACTTTAACTACGATATATTTTTGTGTGGATTTTTTTTTTTACTTTCAGAGTTGGAGACTTCCTGAGTCAGTGGCTTAATGCCTTTCAGTTCTCAGCATCATGTTCTCAAACTTGTTTTTGCCTCATTCTGTTGCTTTCTGAGACTCCAATTACATTGTGTGTTCAACCACCTCACTGGAACCACTATATTTCTTAGCTCCTCTTTTCTATTTTCCATTATTTTCATTATCCTTATTTTACTTTAAGTATTTTTTTTCCTTTTTTTTTTGAGATCAGCCGCACTGCACTCAGCCAGTGAGCACACCGGTCATCCCTATACAGGATCCGAACCCACGGCGGGAGCGCTGCTGCGCTCCCAGCACCGCACTCTCCCGAGTGCGCCACGGGCTCGGCCCTAAGTATTTTCTTTTGAGCTGCCATTTAGTTTGCTAATTCTCTCTTCAGCCGTGTACAAATCATCCATTGAGGTCTTTTTGTTCTTGTTTATATGTATTTATAAGGTATATACAGAAATGGCTGTACCAGTACATTACGAACATCAAAAAGCATGCACAAACAGAATAAATTCTAGGAGGGCGAGATAAGAACAAATGTAAAAACATTGTCCCCCACAACCAGGTGGCGTGCCTGCATAGGCTGTAGAGCTTACTGCATGGGGCGTGCCAGGAGGTCTGTGAGTTCCTCACATGGACCAGGAAGTGGGACAACCACACGGGAGGCCCCGTGATTCACAATTTGGAAAGAGTCTCTACCTCAGTCCTCACTCTGCTCCATAAACTTACAAACGTCATTTCTAGCACAGGTGCAGAGAACTACGTAGAAGAGCATTAGAATTATAATCATCTCAGTGACAGGAGCTTGGGAGGCCCAAGCTTACTCTACCTGCCAAAATTTACCTGCCAGTTCTTGTTAACACACATTAAGTACGGAAAAACCAGACCTGAAAAAAAGACAACCTCTGTCCCAGGTTCAGCAGCCATAACCCTACAGTATCCGTTATTTAAGCACGTGTGAGTCTGTCCGTGCCTGTTAGATCCCAGGCAACGTGGCAGAGCAGAAAGGCTGCAGGCTTCGACGGACTAGTGAGAGTCAGGGCTCTGCTGCTTACCTGCTGTGTCGGCCTGGCTGGATAAGTTATTTAAAGCCTGGATGAGCCTGCTTCCTCAACTGTAAAGTGAGAAGAGTTATAAAACTGTTGTGCCAGTGACAGTAGCCACCACTATGGCCACCATCTTGTCACTGTTATCCCAGATCATCTGGGACTTTCCGACCCACTTGTTCCCTGCTATCTGTGGACACTGAGCCTGGCCCATTTCCCTGAAAATGATACCAGTCTGCTGCCTTCTGTGTGTGTAAGCTCTGTTGGCAAATCCTGGCCTGTGTGTGCAGAATCAGTTTCCTGTTTGGTCACTCTTATCCATTATGAATGAGCAGCACCATAATAACTGCTGCCCCCTTAGAACCTTCTCCCTCCTGGGCCAGGCCTACACACAGCCCCTTGACTTTGAATTCAGTGCTACACCTCACGGAGCAGCGGCCCTCACCTGCCCTTTCATGTGGTAACTAACTTCCTAGCTATTATATCTCTGCAGGCACAAAATCGCAACAGGTAGCAACTTCCTTCTTCTGGGCACGGTCCCCTTTCCAGTGTCTCTTGTCTGTGCTTCCTGCCATTATTATTCAAATAGTTATATGTAATGAAATCATTTACTGAGTTTGGAAATCAGAAGGCAACACTTAAAAGGATCTACTCACAACTGCAGGAATGAACATACACATATACCTACAAGAAGAATATTTCAACTAATAACCTTCTAAAAGTCAGGGAACCGCCTTACGGAAAATCAACCTCTTAAAAAGTTTTTTTTTCTAACTGTCTATATTACTAAGGAAAGAAGTCAAAACAATTAGGAATCTATCTGAAGGAATTTACAAAAAGAGCAAAGAATCAATATCAAACTACAATTAGAAAAGGCAAAAAATAAAACTAAGCAG